CTCCGATGGGCTGCCCCCCACCCTGGTTAATGATTTCCAGACCCACCACCTCCTTCAAGGGCACCTGATTTCCTCTTGGACCTTGCCCTGCTCCTGGGCACCGTTCCCAGCCCAGCCAGCTGCCCGCACTGCTGCCCATCCCCACACACCTCCATGGGGCTCGGCCGCGCTCCTCCAGCTGAACATCTCTTCCCCCTCCACCCCACTGGTGCTGGAGGACCCCAAATATAGCCCGTGGGTCACTGCTGTACCCCTGCCATGCTGGCTGGTGCTGGGATTGTGAAGCACGGGGCAGATAACACTCCCATGTGGACCCAGCAAGCAGGAGGGGGGCTGCCCGCCACCCCCCCCAGTTCTCACCGTTGTGGCTGTTGTGCACATAGACCACCTGGGCCTGCTCAGTCGGCGTGCGCCCCAGGCAGTAGAGGATCCCCACCAGGTCAGACATAGAGAAGCTCCTGGCCTCAACATGGTTGCTGCGGTTGCGGTAGATTTGGAAGCCCGTCTTGGGGTGTGTCATCACGATCTTGTTCTCCCGCTCAATCTGCAGGTAGCTCACGTCACGCTCCCCCATGACGCAGGAGAGGAAGAAGTTGGAGTGGGACAGGCTCTGCACATTGGCGATCAGGGTGATGTCCAGGATGGCCCCTGGGGTGGGGGAACACGAGGGCATGTCACGGCTGGACAAGGACACAGCCATCCCAGCCCTGCCTCAGGGCCATACCCCGTCACCCAGATGTCACCCCCTTTCCAGGACATTTTTGACAACCCCATCTCAGGAGGTGCAGCCAGGTTGGTTGGGTGCAGACCCATTGGGATGACACAGTGGGCATTTCCACTCTCCTTTTGGAGATCCCCATGGGCTCAGCCCCCTACCATGAGTAGTAGAAGAGTGCAGCAGGATGGGGGTCTTGGGACCCTTTCCTCCCACAGGGTGCCTGTGCCCCAGCCCCACGCTAGGGGGAGGCAGGTAGAGGAGGGCACTGCCGGCCTCTCAGGTCTCCAAATGGCTGATCACAATGGAATGTTCCCTCTCCAAACCCTGCTCTGATGGCACCACTGAGCTCCCACAGCTGCCTTGTCCCACCCAGCCTCCCTGGGGCAGAGGGAAACCGGCGATTTACCTGCCAACCGTGGAAGGAGAAGCAGAAGGTAAAAACGGAGTCCCATGTCCTTGGAGCGTGTCCTGAATCTGGCAGAGGTCAGAAAATCCCCGACATGTCCCAGCCACAAGGGTCAGAGCTGGTGGCTGCAGCTGCCTAGGGGCTCCACGTGAGCAGTGGCTCAGGACCCCTGCTCCCTGCCCGTGCCCCCCATCTTGCCTCTGCCCTGCTGCTCAGCGTCTGGGGCAGCTGGGACCACCTCCTCTGGCGCATAGCCTGAGCACGGCAAGGAAGATGCCCCTGTCCCTGCTTGCTCGGTGGCCACCCACTCAGGAGTGGGTCTTGGTGATGAAGAGGCCACTGAAGTTCCCTGCCTTGCGGCAGCTTTCACAGGGAGCAGGCGCCCACCCCTCCAGGGCTAGGTCTGTGTGCTCAGGGCTTCCCAAGCCATACTGAGCCCCCAGCCCAGAGAGGAGGTGTCCTGACACCCCTCTTTGCCTGCCGTGTAGAGGGTCTCATGCCCCAGACTGCCTGGGTGGCAGCATCCCCGTCCCCTCAGTGCAGCCCCGTGGCTGACGGCTGTGGGAAGGGCTCTCTGGAGCAGGGAAAGGAAAGGGGCCAAGGGGCCGTGGCTGGCGGCGGCGGCGGAGCCAAATCCTGTTTCCCATACAGCGTTTCCTGCTCTCCACCCATTGTTTGGAGACGGCCCTGACTCCAGGAGCTGGCAGGAGCTGCCCTGTTGTAGGCTTTCCCCCGGTGAGCAGCATGCGGTGATGCTGAGACCATACACACCTTGTGACACCTTGGCCTCCTGCCACCACGAGCCAGGGTGCCAAGGCATGACCCCACCTGAGCTCCGTGTTGTGCCGGGGCCTGACTCATGCCTGCAGCAGCCCATCACAGGGCTGGGTTGAAAGGGGCTGAGTGGGATCACAGGCAGGGCAACAAAAAGATGGCCAGCCTGCATGGGAGGGCAGTTACTGCCAGGAGAGAAAACCCTCTGTGTTGCAGTAAACATGTCTGGGAGGAAGTGGAAAGCGGCAGAAAGCCTGGCTTTCCCTGAGCACTTTCCCTGAGTGCTTTCCCATGCACAGTGCCAGCACAGGCACCGGCACGGGCACAGGCATGGCACAGCATGGCCCTGCTGCTCCCCTCACCTCCAGCAGGCTCTGGGCTCTTTGCCTCGCAAAAGAGAGGCATTCTCCAGGAAAACACTGTAAGCTTCACCCACTAAACCTCATGTTGCCTAACAAATTGAACTGTTCCCACGTGAAAGCCAGGGCTGCCGGGGAGCGAGCTTCATGTTTTGGTGTGTCCTGAGCTCATGTTGCATCCGGCCAAAAATCTAAAGCACACATGGAGAGGAAGGGGAAATCCATTCATCGCTTCCGACTATTTACAGCGCACTCCAGGGTCGTGCGGTGCCCATGGCGTGCTGAGGGAGGGATGGCAGCGGGCAGGGGCTCCCCAGTGCAACCACCCGACCACCCCGAGACAGGAGGGATGGAGAGGATTTGAAAAAGATGGACACCAGATGCAGCTGCCCCTGTTTGTCTGGGAAATTTAAGCACAGTGCTCTACTGTGGGCTGTGCATAGGTGAGGGGCTCTGTTTTTGGGATACCCCCCCAGGGCACTTAAGGCACAACCATAATGTCAGTGTGGAGCACGAGGCCGTCCCGCAGTGGGACACGCAGGGGCTGGGCAGCCAGACGTCTGTGCTCTCCTGGGGCACCCCACATCCCCATTTGCCTGGCCAACCCCAAGCTCATTTGCAAGCGCGTTGGGTCAGGGATTCATCCGTGCACTCAGTACAGCTGCAGGAAGAGGACAGATACATGAATAGGTAAACAAATGGCTTCTTCCCCTAGTTCACTGGCTGTAGAGGCCAGTCACACTCAGAACCGTAACTGCAGTCGTGCCACCATGTGCTCACACATGCTGCGCCTGGGGAAGAAACTCATTCTGTGCTCCCCTAGCAGCACACAGAGCTGTGTTATGATGCATTCTATGAAACGTCCTCCGACAAGAGGATCCTTTTGAGGATGGGATCATTTACACAGAACAAACATGCTTTATGGGAAGGCTTTGCAGCCACGGGCCCTGCAGCGTGCCCCTCCAGGGAGCACAGGACGGCTCCTCTGACTGTCTGAGGGGAACCAGCGCATTGCTTTTACTCTTTCGGGGAATGGGAGCCATTTGGGGTCAGCTCTCCACACCAGGTGGTGTCCAGGAGATCTCAGGAATCCATCAAGGGATCTGACCGAAGCTGATATGTCCCCTTGCATTTCTCTAAGGAACACCTGGATAAGAGGTGTTTATCTGTGCACAATCCTTGGGCTGGAGGTGGGGTAGGAAAACTCTCTGGGAGGTTTTGCGTGGAGACCCAACCAGGACCCTGCAGCTCCAGTTTAATCCTATGTGCCTCCAGAGGAACCAGGGAGGTGGTGGCAGCTGAGCCCAGCCAAAGCAGCTCACTACACTTGCTTTCCTGTAATATGGAAAGCTCCAGCGGCCCAACCCACAGCACAGTGAAAGCACCTGAATTTCTGCTGAATTCACTGACCTCAACGTTTTTGCTGAATCACAACAGACTAAAAAAGAGTGACAAAAATATCTCTTTTTGTTATCATTTGCACATTCTAATGCACAGCGCCGCATGCCAGAAACCATAACGCACTGATACGTTTCCTGATAGGAAATGCAAACGCCCTGTGAATCCACCAACAGGCTGGGCTGCCTCAGCAACATTTTCTAGTCCTGCTTCTCTGGTCATTTGTTTTCTTTTAAGAGTCCCAGGGAGGCCCTACAAGGCTGGGTTAAGGGCTGCTGCACCCTCAGCCCACCTGGTCGCATTGGCAGGGCAGCTGGGGAGCAGGCAGCTGCCTGGCTGTGTTGGCATCCACCACACACTCGCAGGATGAAGGACAGGCTGCTGGGAAGCCCTTTCCCCGAGGAAAGGGTGGGACACATAGCTGTGGAGGAGCCCCTTGGCAGCAGGGGGGAGTGGGGCCACCCTGTCCCGGCTGCTGCCAGGATGGAAACTGCAGATCCAAAGTGCTCTTGTTGGCAGGCGGCCTCCTGTGGCTGCGCAGGAGTGGGAATGGGAAATGGGGAGCAGGGAAGAGAGCTTGGGGCTCCCTCCTGCTGCAGAGGCAAAAGCTTTGCCAGTCCTTTCCCGCTTACATGCCCCAGCACCCGTGGTCATGGGAGAACATCCCACCCAACCGTGTGCCAGCAAGCACCCACAAGATGCTGCTTTGATGTGATTTTTCAAATTTTCATTGACTCCACAGCAGGGCTGGCAGGGAGCACTACTGATGAGCAGTGTGTCTGTGTGAGGGGTGCTGGAGGTGGTGGGGCACCCCCATCCTCTAGGACCTTCACAGGAGCCCTGGCTGCTCCTCAGGGAGTCAAATTTTTGTTAGAATCTCCTCGATGCTGGAAAGCCAACACTGCTGAGCCACTGCCAGGCCCAGGACCTGCCCATTTACTGCACATTTGAAACACCTTTCCACCAGAATCCAAATAAAATTTTTGTTTTCCTGTAGGACACTTTTCTGCTGCCTCACCCCCTGCTTCTCTGGCAGAGGCTTGTTATGTGCCCCTGTCCCGGGTGTGTGGAGCCAGGGCACAGCACTGGGGCCAGGCTCAGGCTGCTCTCCTTGAGCACGGCCATCTCAGGGCAGATGCCATAGAGGTGCCCCCCCTCCTCCTCTGGCCCCCCAGCACCTCCTGGTTCTCTGCTCCCCCCGAAGCAGCCCTCATAGCCCCCCACAAACCACCGGACAGATGCTGGCGGTCCCCTTGTCACCCGTCACAGGAGGCAGCGGGTGGGAGGTGGCGGGGTGTGGCGGTTAATGTGTAACCGGTGCCGCCACCTTTCACCCGCGCAGCCGTCGGGAGGGAGCGGGGCTGTGGCCGCAGCCGGGCTGGCTCCCAGGTGCTGGTGGTCTGCGGGGCCGTGTGGCCGGGGCGCAGGGGCTCGGAGAGGGCCCCAGGCCGTGTGGCTGTGGCCACACCTCGCCCTGCACAGCCGGCTCCACCGGCTTCCCAGCTTTCCCTGAGTCTTGTTTTCTCTGACGGCAGTTTCCTGGAGCCAATGGCTCCTTCCCGCCTGCTCGGGGTCTGCAGCCTCCTCTGCGCCTGGTCAGTGGTGACGGGACACCCCTGCAGCCTCGATCACCAGGTAGGGGGGCCAAGGGGGCTCCAGTGTGGGCAGCAGCTGGGGGGGGGCAGGCACACCCCACTCGCGGTCCTGCCGGCACAGTTGGGTGGCAGCACCGTGTGCTTGCGGGCAGCAGGCCCTGGCAGGCGGCTCCTGCTCTGCGTGGCTTGAGAGAGAGTGAAAACCTACCGGAGGAAGCGGAGTTAACTGGTAGATGTGCAGTGCCAGTGGCCACCAGCCACAGGGGTGGTTCACCCACACATGGGGCCTGGCTGCCCTGCTCCCTGCCCCACAACACCCCATCTCCCAGCCCCACAACACCCCATCTCCCAGCCTCAGGCTGAACACATCATGTTGTCCAGCCCATTCACCAGAGCACAGCAGGGGCTGGCAAAGCCTTGTCAGTGCCGTGGCATTTCTGACTCTGGGGGTCAGAACTGCAGCCATAACACAGCTGCCCAGACAGGGTGCAGAGCGAGCAGCAGCGAAGCACATCCCTGAGGGGCTCCGAGCCCCCCACTCCTTTCTCCAGTGCATGGTGATGCAGTGACTGAAGCCAGGGTCAGGACAGCTGTGGGGTCAGGATCCCCACGGGAAACAGAACTAACCCATCCCACCGGGACAAGCGCTGCAGGCAGTAGCTCAGCTGCACCAGGCGGGAGCCAGGAGGAAGCCAGAAAAGTGGCTGTTGTGGACAGATGGCACAGGGCAGTGCTGCCCACCCAGTGCTCAGATACTCCCTCAGAAGGCTTGCACTGTTTTCCACAGCTTCCCGGAGCCCAGCACCATCTGAGCCTGAGACAGGGCCTGTGTGGTGCCCACATGGCTCAGCCCCATTATAACCCAGTCCTCGGCAGCCCAGCTTTGTAAGTGCACATCTATTCCTCTAGCAAGCAGGGATGGCAGGGTCTGATAGATTTAGGTGAACAGGAGGATGAAAGGAGAGGTGATCACGTGAGAGGCAAAGAAATGAAAAGGCCAGTTATCTGGGAACCAGTCGGACCTAGAAACCCAGGACTATGGACCGCAGCAAACTTCCAGCATGGCACCTCTGCCTGGGGGGCCCAAACACAGCATTGAGCAGGAGCCCATGCCTGTCCAACCAAACTTAAACTGCTGACCTGCTCTCTGGCAGCTTTAGTGTGGGCAGCTGACCCTCTCCAACAGAAAGCCCAAGCAGGAGTAACACATGTTGGGGACCACTCCCCAAAACCAGCTTGAATTTGACCACCCATTTTTTTGGGGGAAAAAACCTCTATCTGTGTGGGTTGATTGATCCATCCAGCATGCACTGCTGGCCTTTTGGGACAGTGAATGATCTCTGGTCTGTTTTGTTCAGTAGCCTCTGCCACTCACAGTGTATCATCAGAAACACGGGAGGGCTGGGAGCATGGGTGCAATATCCTGCACAGGCCCTGAGGAGCAGCTCTTGGCAGGGGTGCCTGGTGCAGGTCCCACTGCTCCTGCCTGCTGCCGCCTGCCTGCCTGCCCTTCCAGCAGTCAGGGCTCTTGCCCACTGCCTTGCTCCCACTGGGAGGACACCCTTGTGTCACACAAGAGTTCCCTGGGGGCTGGAGGTGGGGATCTTGGGGAGGAAGAGGAAGGCCCTGTAAGGGAGGACAGGAGAATGACAACCTGGTCCCTTTGCACCCACCTTGTCTGTTTGGGTTCCTCCCAGTTCTCCACGCTCCTTCTTTACTCCTTCAGTTGGCTGCTCAGTCCTGGCTGTCCAGTTCATCTTTCTCCATTTATCCTGGCCCACACCAAACTGGCAACTCATGTGTTTTTTAAAGTTTTTTGTCTTTTTTAAAATCTGCAAGGGTAAGGGGTTTGAACTCCTGGGAGTCTCAGTCTAGAGACCCTCTCCAGCATGGAGATCCCATCTCAGACAGCAGCTCTTTTCCCAGGGATGGGCCGACTGCAATGGGAAGAGCCTCCTGCACGCTCCAAGTTCCCTTCCCAGCAACATCACCGGTTTGGACCTCTCCTTCAATTCCTTGGTTGTGCCGCGTCATGGGACTCTCTTGATGCATTTCCCTTCCCTGTGGTACCTCAACCTCTCGAGCAATGCCCTGCTAGCACTGAGCCCAGCAGTCTTCTCCAACCTCAGGGCACTGCGTTTGCTGGACCTGAGCAGCTGCAGCATCACCTACCTCCACACGGACACTTTCAAGGGCCTGGGAAACTTGCAGACACTGCTCCTAAGAAACAACAGTCTACAAGGGCTTGAGGTCCCTTTCTTCCTGCCGCTGAAGGCTCTTTTCCACCTGGACCTGCAGCACAATGCGCTGGTCTCTGTGGATGCTCTGAGCCTGCAGCTGATGGAGGCAGTTCCGCAGGTCCGGCTGGAAGGGAACCCCTGGGTCTGTGACTGCGCCGCACACGCTCTGCAGCAGTGGCTACAGCGCAGGCAAGGTGAGCGGACAGGCGGCTGGCAGGGGAGGTGTCAGGTGGGAGGAATCCCCGGTCCAGGGGTCCTGCTCAAGCCTTTTGCTCCAACCCCAGGCATGCTCTGAGATGGCTCTCCAGGAACCTTTCCCACCCTGCTGAGGGACAGCGAACCGAAAGGGGATGTGTCTGATCCTTGCTTGCAGTTACATATGATACCAAAGACTTCTAGAAATGACAGCAGGACAATTTAGCCACTCTTCTGGGAAAGGGGCTGCATGTGCACTTCAGTCCCTAAATCCACCTATATGTATCTACATGGAGTGACCGCATTTTCAAGAGCTGCTGAGCACTTGGCAGCTCCTCTGCTGGAGCCAGATCAGCTACATATCTCTGAGCTCAGCTCTCAAGCAAGAGCAGCCCCGTGACAGTGAGGTTTCTATTAGTATCCATGAATTTGGCATTATCCAGTTAAAAGTAACCTGCTAAACAGTTAAACACTTGAATGACTCCTTGGTCAGAGAATTTTTTCTTTGGTTGTACCTTACAATGTGCTGAGGGTGAGTGAGGCTGGAGGGCAGAACCAGGAGCACCTTGTGATGTGTCCCATCAACTTGGGAGCAAGCAGAGATAGTCCTCTCTAAACTGGGGGGGACATGGGCAAAGAGCCCCGGTCCCACCTTAGTCCATGTGTCTTCCAGCTGTGCAGGTGACCTGTGCGTTGCCCCCGGGACTGCAGGGCCGGGAGGTCGCAGCTCTGGATTCCCAGGACCTGGGCTGCTGGATGAAGCAGCGGTTTCCTCGGTGGGTCAGCACAGCACAGCAGATCACAATGACCCACAACAGTAAGTTGTGCAGCTACGGAGGCATCCGTAAGGTCTAGCTCCCTCCTGCCCTCCATCACGCCAGAGGGGACCATGGGTGGAGACCTCTGCTCTGCCCCGCAGTCCCAGGGGCTCCGGCTGCCCAGCCGCCAGCGGTGCAGTGCCTTGGTGGGGAGGGTGGCCACCACCTGGAGGTGTTTGCTGGCTTTGCAACAGAAAAGTTAGCAGGTGCCACAAAGCCACACAGCACACAGACTCCACAGTGATGGGCACCACTCTCAGACAGCATCTGGCAGTTTCCCTCACAGTGTTCACACCCCCTTGGTAGCTAGCTCTTGGTGAAGAACATTTATATTACTCCTAACAAAAGCAATCCAGTGCTGGCTGCACACTGCAGGCATGCGCAGGGCTGGCTGCTGGGGAGCGCTGGGTATGCCACGGCCTGACCTGCTGTGCCCTGATGTGTCTTTCTTGTGCCACAGCCACCACACCACCCGCCGGGAAGGGGGGAAGGAGTTGGCCGTACCTGGTGGGCTTCCTGGTGGCAGCAATCGGCATCTCTGTCCTGATCGCACTGGCTGCCAAGTGCAAGCTCTTCCACAAGAACTTTGCCAGCTACCGCCACCGGCCGCTACCTGAAACCAGCTCGATCGGAGGCAGCCCCATGGAGGACGGCAGCAGGTGGGACAGGGGCTCCTCAGGCCGGGGGGACTGCGAGAGGCACCCCATGCCCAGTGCTGCCGACCTTCAAGCTGAGGATGATGATGGCTTCATCGAAGACAACTACATCCAGCCAAGCGAGCAGCTGCCAGAGGAAGAGGAGCGGGGGTCGCACCTCTCCATCTGAGCCTGCAGCTCAGCCACCACCGCTGCAGCCTCTCTCTGTACCCCCCATCTCCATCTCCCTCCTGTTCTTTCCCACCTGCCCTCAGCTTTTGCCCCCACGTGGCTGGGGACAGGAAGAAAGGAGAGGAGGGGAGAGAAGGGGTGGGCTGGGAGTGGTGATGGAGGCTGAAGGCAGCCAGCCCCATGGTGGCCCAGCGTGATGCCAAGAGGGCTACACCGGCATGGGAACACCAGACCTGCCACTGCTCACCCAGCCCTGCTTGGATGCTGAGGATGAAGGAGACGGTGCTTACCAGGCAGCTTGGTGGGGTGAGAAGAGCCTGCCCTAGTGCTCCCTGTGGGGTCTCAAGCACTGGCCCTGCTCCCCCCCGGTTGCAGACCCAGCCCTGCTCTGTCCCTCAATATGTGGTCACTTTGGGTGTGATTAAAGCATGATTTAATCCTGCATCTGCTTGCAGTGGTTTGCTGGGGCTCTCCCAGTGGTGGTGCCAGGAGGAGACCCCCAGCCCTACAGCTGGGATGCGGCTTTTTTTGCCTGTGCTTTCAAGGACCATAAATACATTCCTCGTTAACTGCAGCAGTGAGAGAACGGGTCTGTGGCGCAAGTGCTCTTGTGCAAACAAATCTGTCACCTGCTGTGGTGCAGGCAGCCTTGGTGCGTCATTGCAGGGTTTCTCTGCACGTGTCTCCAGCATTGCTACCCGCTGCATCACTTCTCTCTTCTCTCTCTTCCCTCTCCAGCAAGATGTGCTAGAAAGGCACTTACCTTTCCATGTTGGCTCTTTAGAGCTGAGCAAACTTGTTGGCAGTGCTGGTTGTGGTGTCAGGCAGGCACATGTGCTGGGGTGAAACAGCCCTGTCCCCCGGCACCCATTACAGAGTCCCATCTGTATCTATAACCATGGCATTATACAAACATTATAATTTTTGCATTCCTGTCATCTCTGTGGTATGAGAGACATAGTTATCTGCAAGCTGTTTCTGCTGTAGCTGGTTGTGCCTGTGTGGGTCACCCTGGGGTTAAAAGCAGGGAGCAGCAGCGGCATTCACCCCCCATAGTAAGTGTTTCACAAGGCTGGTGCCATTGGGCTGGGGAAGATTTCCCAGGGTTGTTACAGTCCCCGATAGCCTGGGAATCTCCATCATGCTCCAGAGCATGAAGCATCATCACACGGACAGCATTTCTTGCAGCCCCCCATCACTTTCAAACCTCCATTTCACTGTAAACTGCCTTTCTATTTCTCTACTCATTAAGATATTTATAGAGCACACTGTAGGCAAAACTAAATAATACATGTCAGAGAATATAAATCAAAGAGGATGACAAGGTCAGGGGTTGGATGGGTGATCCATGCCAGTGGCTTAAAGCACCTTCCAGAGAGGGAATGTGCCAGTTGAAGCCAGGAGGAGAAAAACCTGCTGGCTTGTTTCACTGGTCAGCCTGTTTTTGCTCTTAAACGTTGTATTTCCAAACTGAGCTTTACTTGTGCAGTCCCTGCCTCATGTTTTGCTTCTGGGCTCATTTTAACAGATGAAAATACAATATATGCTGTAATTTTTGGAAATTTCTAATATCTTTCAGGTAAGATAGGTAACTTAAACCTGAGGGCTGGGAAAATGCATTTCAGTTATCTTTTGGAGGGTATTTTCTGTGCTTTTCAACATGCTTTTCAAACACAAGAACTTGTGCTAGATGCAGTATTTCACTTTTGGTCTCAGCAATGTCTTAAATGAGATTAAAAATAAAACTGCCCAGATTTACTTATGCAGGATCTTGCTCACTCTCATCCCTCAGTGTGCAGTGGTGGGTTGCTTGTCTACTTTGACCCTGATGGGAGGCCCACCTGTTTATTCTTTAACTGAGAAGACGTTACTGTTTTTCTGGTGTGCAGGGGGCCCTGGTCTCGTGGCAGCCCCTCTGCCCTCCCTCCAGGCAGCTCACGTCAGGGGGAAATGCATCTGGCATGCAGAGCTGGAAATACAAGAGGGTCAGAGCAGAAAAGGAGGTGCCTTCTCAAGGTGGGTCCCCCCCAGGAAGCTGCCAGAAGGATGGTGGTTGAGGCTGGCAGATGGGTGCAGTAGCAGGCATGCAGGCAGACTGGTTCCGGGCTCCTTGCAGGCAGCAGCTGCCGCTGTGAGGCTCGAGGCTCAGCCCTACTGCAGGGCAAAAGAGCTTCTCTGTAAACAAACCAGCCGGCACTGACATATTCAGGAGGCCTGGCAAGCTCCACGTGAGGATCTTTCAGGGGCATGGGCAGGTCTTAGCTTCACAGAGCAGTGGTAGGGGGGACTGGCTATGTCTAGGTCTTTAAGCAGAGGGACATGCAAATGGATCTGGAGGTGAGAGTTGTGTATCAGGAAATAAATACTGGTATTTGGGGGCTGTGGTGGTGGAGCCACACTAGTGATGAGCAGAAACCACAGCCACAGGAGGGACCCTGGGCTGCCATGATTTCTGTCCTGGGCTCAGCCTCAGCAGAGGCCAGCTCTGCACAGCCCTGCCACCTCCCGCTCCACAGAGAGGCTGACGCTCAAGCATCAGCCTTCAACACGGTTGACTTCGGTAACACTTTATTATGTATTTCCATACACAACACAGGGACTAAAAAAGGAACAAGACAGTACCGCTGCTGCAGAGGTGGCCCAGTGCCTGGGGCAGCGCAGGCTGTCCATCTGGACAGCCAGACACCCAGACCACCATCTTCAGGGACAGCCTGTGCTCAGACATTATTTCCTTGGGTTGCTGTTGCAGCCCATGAACATCATTTTCTGACACAATTCATGAGCACTTTGTGCACATTTTGAAGGGGCTATGGAGGGGAGGATTCACATTAGCATGCAGGCAGCATGGAGCTGCAAGCTGGGCACAGTCATACATCTTCACAGAAATGCCCAGATGTGCAAAACAGCTGGTGTGCAGGCAGCTGCGGCCTGTCCACATGTGCAGGTTAGGGGAGCTGGGAGTAACTGCTAAAGCACTGCAACAGGCAGAGGTGGTGCAGCCTGGCTTAACTGCACATGCACCAACACAGATGTGCCGAGCAGCAGGAATGGTGATGGTGCAAAACTGTCCAGCTCTGGCCTGTCCCTCCCTATGCACACACAGGGGTCCCTGATGGACCTGGCATCAGAGCCTGGAAAGGAAGGACAGCTTTTTGCTTCGCATAGGATTTAGCACAGAAAGACCTGAGCTTGGTATCACCCTCTGAGCTCTTGGGCAGATTGAGGGAAGTGATGCAAAGAGATGAGGAAACAGCAGTTTAATAAAATCTATGGATGATGTGAAAGTGGCAAAGGAAAATGTAGAAATAACAGAGATCCAGAAATAAAAGCTAAAATGATGTTCCTGTACTTTGGGGGAAAAAAATCCAAGGCTTCTGTGGAAGGAAATCCATCAGGAGCAGAACAAGAGTGGATGAATACAGAAATGCCCTCATGCTACCTGAGTATGTTGGGGACAGTGTGGTCTGGAGCTGGAAAGGGATGAAGTCCTCATTGTCCAGCGTATAGCTGGTGGGGTTCATTGATGCTGAACTCTGACACTGCCTCCAGGTGTAATATGGACAGTGATTTGTGCTGTTACTAACAGAATGAGCTACTATCCTCTTCCAATAAATTTTCTACCAGGCACCAAAAAATAATAGTTCCATTACAGAGCGAATTTAGCAAATAATGAGCAAAAATAACAGCTGAGGCAGAGCAGTTTATGTGAGGGGGAGACAGGAGCAGACTGGAAGATGAAAAGAACGTTGTGCAGAAGCAGCTTTGCTAGGAGGTTAGGATCTGTGTCTGTGGAAAGGACTGTGAAATGGTTCATGGGTACATGGAGCAAATAAGAATTTTGACAGGTAAATTAGCCTCAAGTCACAGGAAAAGCTCCCGAGGCGAGCTGTTACTCTGCCTCTGGGAAAGACACCTCAGTGATAGCTACCTTCTAGAGATAAAAACACTAAAAAAAGCTCCAGGTAAGGCCCAAGTGGTATCAAAAGACCTTTTCTGCCCCACAGCAGCTGCAGCACTTTGGGAGACAGAACAGGCAGGGACTGTCTTGAGCTGCAGCGCTCCTGCGGCAGCAGGGGTGCCTCTTGCTTGGGAAACTCCTGTCAGAGGGCAACAGCACTCCCGCCTCGCACCACCCTTGCAGAGCAGCATGTTCCCTTCACCATCCCCCAGTGACTGCACCTTGTGGCTTGTGGCTCATGTGGCTGGAGCACTTTGGCATGATAACAGAGCCCCAGCACAGTCCAGACTGATAACCCGTCAGGGCTGACACCAACACCCTTTGATCACCCCTTTGATAAACCACAGAAGGTGGTGGGCTGCCGAAATGTAACATTGAAACAGATCCTGGCATTGCAAACACAAACAGCGTTTCATGTGGGGTCCAGCCATGCTGGGGCTCTGGCACAGACATCCCATGAAGATCCCACGCTCGCTCCCACAGACGCGCAGATGTTTTGTCGGGAGCAGCCCCTGCAGCTGTACCTCCCACCAAGCTCCCTTCACTTGCGCTGCATGCCTGCTGACATGCAGAATATTTCCTGCCATTCATCAGCTGCTAGAGGCTCTACCTTGCTCAGGAGTTGGCGGCTCTGCACAAAGCACAGGGTGGTTTTATACCACCTGCAATCACAGCCTCTCCTGCCAGGAGAGCACATGACACAGCTCTGGGAACTGCAGGAACCAAGCAAGTTCTGGGGTCCCCAGGGATACAGGACAGGCTCACCTTAACTTTGTGACAGGGATCACAGCCGGGTGGGCAGCAGCTGCCACAGGAGGCTTTGTGGAGATAAAACACCAGCCAGGCCAGTGCTGTGCTCCTAACGCGTCAGGTCAAGAGCCCATTCACACACCCCAAGTCCCTGCTGTGCCGTCAGCTTGGGGCAAAGCAAATGCCAGTCATCTCCGAAAGAAGCAAAGGCACACTGCAACGCTCACCCTTCCTTCAGGAAAGGCTGGCACAAGCCCTGTTGATGGGTTGTATCCAGTGAGGCTCACGCAGGGGTGTCCTGGGTCAGATCAGGTTGGCCATGCTGGAGGTGGGAGGAAGCCGCCTGTTCGCAGCGAGACGGCCAGAGATGGTGAAGACACGGATCTCACCGGCCTCCAGGCTCCGAGGAGCAGCCTGGCGACAGGAGGTGCAGAGCAGGTAGAGCAGCAGGCAGAGGAGGATGGCACTGCCAGCGGTCAGGAGGACAACCCCGCTGGTGAACATGCTGGCCAGCGGCCGTGCAGGGCTCAGCTGCATGGTCGTGGTGGAGAGGATGGTGAGCACGACCCCACAGACCACCAGCACCAGGGCGCTGAGCAGCAGCACCAGGCAGTCCGAGAAGCCCCCGCTCTTCAGGAGCTCGATCTGATCCCGGCTGCGGATGCAGTTCATGTCCTGGATTGCAGAGCTCAGCAGCTGCTTCAGCAGCACGAGCAGGGCCAGGAGGCAGAGCGTGGTGCCCACAGCCAGCCTCCACTCCCCAGACCGGCTGCTGGTGCTGTACAGCAGGATGATGCCACCAATCCCGCAGGCCAGAATCAGCACCACAGCCATCCCATAGCACAGGATGGACTTCTTGGGGTCCTGGAACCACCAGAGCTCCACATGCTCCTCCAAGATGTTCCTCTGGATGTGGTCTGCATCCACAGGGGTGCGGGGGCTGCTCAGTTCTGCCAGCTCTGGCATGGTGGACGGCTGGATGGGGAGGGCACGGTGGGGTAGTTGCACAGATGAATCTACACCCTTACAGCGATGTGGAGGGTCAAGGCAGCAGCAATTTCAAAGGCAGCTGCATTTCTCAAGCAGGGACGCCTCTGTCTCATTCTCTGGAGCCTGGTGGAGCTCCCTTCTGCAGCAGTGCCACTTGAAGAGCTATGGTCCATGTGCTGGGGCTGAGTCCACGCCCCAGGCAGGGCTGCAGGACATCGTGGAGCATCCCCTGAGCAGCACCATAAGAGAACACCCAGGGCTGTGTCCTTTCTTTCCTGTGTCTTTTATCTGAAAGAGTCAAGAAGAGAAGATATTATTAAAGAGACCCTGCTCCCTGTACCAAACAATCCCCAGCCAAACCCTGGGCCTGGGTTGCCGCGGGCTGGCCTGCAGACCTTCCCCTGCCTCCCTCACAGCAGCCTCATGAGTTGGAGCACAGATCACCACACACGTCTTCCTGGGAGACCTCTGTGCACTGCGGGGGGACCTCAGCCTGCCCCAAGGGTGAGTCTTGCCTCCCCAGCCCTCTGTGCCCTGCTCAGAGGCTACTGGCACATCGCTGCCCACAGGACTCTGCCTGCAGCTGGTGCTGGCAGCAGGGCAGGGATGGAGCAGAGGCAGGTCTCTCCTGGGATAAAGCCCCATTCACAGCTCTGGCTTCACATGCTCCCTCATCAGCATCAGCCTCTTGTCACCAACTGGCTCTGCTGCCCAGAATGACAGCGGGAGGTGGGGGTCAGGACTGGGGCTTAACCCTTCCAGTTCAGTCACTGGAAGAGCAAGAGCTGCCCTTGCTGTAAGTTCTCAGACCTGTCCCCACTCCTGCATTGCCAGTGGTTCCCCCTCCCAAGTTCTCTAGAGGTATATGATGGTTACATCTCCAGTGGTCTCAGCACTTCCCTGGAAAGAACCCCCAGACAGCTGGGACCTGGTACCCTACAATTTTGCTCTCCTCTCTGCTGATCCCTGAAGCACTTCACCACTGTAGGGGAGCAGGGGAAGGGCAGCAGTGGCTGCAGCGTGGAGGCAGGCTCTGTGGTGCTGTGCTTAGCTGGGCTCCCCTTGGCACAGCACCTTGTCTCACTCGCAGCCTGGCTTCCTGGGCTTATCGCCTCCTCAGCCTCCTGGCCCCCCTTCAATGCTTCTCTGGGTACAGTTTTACAAGAGTGGAAACTACTCGAATTTCTCTCAGATAACATCCTGCTGCAGCATGTGAGTGTTCCAGCTGGTCCCACAGCACCAGAGGGACCCTCCAGCACAGCTAGTGCCCAGAACAAGGACAAGTGCTGAGAAGGACAGTGTGGGAGGATCTCAAGTATGGCTGAGCCCTTGAGACATGGGACAGAGCCTGGAGACCCACGAATTGCCTCCCCGGTCACCTCCCAGACAGAACGATGCACCCTCAGCTATCACGGGAACACACACACACACACAAACTGCTCAGAGTCCCACGGGAGCCTGTGGTGGGGACAGGAACTGATGCAGATCCCCTCTGTCAGAGCTGTGTCACTTCTCCCAGGTGGGAAAGGCCACGCAGCACCCTGCCTACTAGAAATGGCTCTCTGGGAGCCTGTGAGCACATGCCAAACACACTCCATTTGTCTTTGTGCCTTGCTCTGCACAGCGCTGGGACTCTGGGATCATTACGGATGGGTGGGGATGATTTGTGACCTCCACGCATGGCAGGCCTGCACACACCAGGGATCTTTCTTCCCACAGCTCTCCCTGTCCTCAGACAGTCTCCACAGACTGCATCCCATTACAGCAATGCCTTTGCTACCAATGCCTGAATATCCCCCTCCACTGGAGACAAGACAATGTGGGGTGGGGGGAGAGGGAGGACAATAGTGTGGGGGGTGCCTGAACCAGACACCGCCTGACAGTGTCAGGCCAAGCTCCTCCTGAGTCACTCCCCGGCTGTGATGGAGCATGAGGTCACTCTGGACGTGGCTCAGGGCACGCTGCCAGCTGGCAGCACGTGTCCAGGAAGTCTGTAACCATCGCGGGTTTGCAGGCCCGGGACCCATCGTGCCACATGAGCTGGGCACTGTGCTGCTCCCCTGCACGGCTGCCGGCGCTTGAGCTGCCTGGGCAGCGAGTGGGCTGGGACACAGAAACCCAGGCTCCAGAGGGTACATTTTCCTGGAGGCCTGTGGGACATCTGCAGCTCCTGGCTAGAGCCAGAACAATCGGAAAGCACCAATTAGAGAGAAAAAAAGCTGTGGTTGAGTATGCTGATTTGTGCCTGCTGGGACCCACTTCAATTTTGCATGAGACAGCAGATACCTTGTGCTGTCTGCATATGCCCAGGACACAGGTCCCAGAGAAGGTGAGGATGCCACTGAGCACTTTCAAAGTAGAGGGGTGAAAAGACATTGAGCTTGGAGACATTTCCCCAGCTTATGCAAACCAGCTCGGTGCTAAGCACTACTTCCTTCTGCCTTTCCTTCTCCAAGCACAGAGGTGCCTTATCTCCTTACCAGCAAATGGGTGAGTGTAGTAGATAGCAGGTTTGTAGATTAGATTGCAATTTTGGACTAAGAAAACATAAACCTTGGAGAAGTGCAAAGTCTGCAGCCTTCTGCTGCTTGACTGAAGTTGTGCACACAGTTATGACAACAGTAACCAAAACAACTACAACAGTACAAATGACAACGAGGGAAAATGCAACAGAAAATCAAGCTATGGCACTGCATTCTCATGTTACTTTAAAAAATTTAATCATTTTAATTTTTGTGTGCTTAGAAGAAGGTCAGTGAACAAGATAAAACTGTTAGAGCATCTGGCTGCAGAACAAAATAAGGTGTGGCCTCTATGAGCATGTATTTCCCAGTGTTATATTAACCTCTATTAAACAAATTATTTGGAGAGGCAAAGGCTTCCACTGAAGTGTGCCTCCATGTTTCCTCCCATGTGTCTGTTTGAAAGTGTTCTGGGAATAGAATATTTTGCTCTATAAGCATCCACACTTGCTTGGGCTTCTCTAGACCATGAGGGTTTGTGCCACTAATAACAATATTTTAACTTTTAGAATCACAGAATAATTCAGATGGGATGGGATCTTGAGAATTCACCTGGTCCATCCACCTATTTAAAGTGGAGTTTAACCTCAAAGTCAGACTGAGCAGCTCAGGGCCACATCCACTTGGATGCTGGATACTGCCAAGGATGGAGGGTCCACAGCCCCTCTGGGATCATACCAGCGTTTAACCATCCTTATCACAAATAAATTTTCCCTAAATCTAACTACAGTTTGTCATTCCTCAGCAGGGGTGTATTGCCTTCCATCCTTTTAAGAAAATGCTGATTGTCTTTGTATGTTAAACCTAAGGAGCCCTATCCTGGGCTGTTACCCACCACTCCTTGGAAAAGGGATGAAACCAGATCTCAGCAACTTTGCTGATCTGGTTTCTTGGCATTATGCAGTACATCAGTTTGGATCCCTGCTCTGCCATGAGGGAGGACAGCCTTTCCACAGCAGTTGCCCCTTCTGTAGCTCTTCTTTGGGCTACCTGTTCTCACTGGTCTGGGATAGACCATAACAGAGATCCTTTGGGAGTTTAAACCAGTTAGCCCATCAGATTAGCCAGTTTGATAATTTGTATCGTTACAAAGGTCATTAATCTCTACCATTTACTTACTACTGAATCCAGTAGTAAGCAAATCCTTCTCTGTATGCAAGAAAAAAAAAAGAGGAGAGGGTCAGCACAGTCACACAATGCTTTCTGTCTGAAGGTCGCATTTCAGGAAAAAAATTGACAGGCTGTCCTTCCCCACTGCTGGCTGACAGCTGGGAAGGAAGAACAGGAAAGAACTGGGAATGCAGGAAAACAAAAATGTTCATGTTTTTCCCTTTTCACTGGGTACTTTTTTCCTACTCTGACAACATTTAACTGGGAACTGAGGGTCATCATCAACTGGTTTCTGGCCACTCCTGGCTGCAGGTGTGGGAGATGCATGCCTGCTGACCGCTTGGGAATGGTATATGCATTTATTTATTTACTTATAGACATTTGATGTCTGAGTGTCTGATATCTGAGAGACAAGCCATGGACTGTATGTTAATTAACACTTCCATCTCAGAGCCACATACAAGTCAGCTGTTGAACTACTCCTCAATTCACTCCTCTCTCTGAGCCCAAGGTACACCATGAGACATTGCTTACCCACAGCATTCAGGAGGGGAAGCCTGGGGGTGGGACAGGCTCCTGCAGTGCTTACATCTTTGGAAAGGTTTTATGCAGCTATGTGGACTTTGTGAGCATCATGGAGACTGGGAGAGTCTGTCAAGATTTGCTGTAAAATAACAATAAATAAAATGGTTTGTACAAGCAATCTAGATGAGAGCCCTGAATTGTTGTAGGTCCCTTCCAACTGAGATAGTCTATTCTATTCTGTTTCAGTTGGAAGGGACCTACAATGATCATCTCAGTCCAGCTGCCTGACCACCTCAGAGCTGAGCAAGTTAAAGCATGTTATTAAGGGCTTCCTCTTGAACACTGGCAAGCCTGGAGTATCGACCACCTCTCTAGGAAGCCTGTTCTAGTGTCTGACCACCCTCTTGGTGAAGAAATGCTTCCTAAAGCATATTCTGTTCTACCCTAATTCCCTAGTAGGCTCAAAGACAATGAAGCTCATATATTTTGTTTTATGCCTGAATTACTGCCAATACACACATCAGAAGCTCTGAATGTCACAGTGCTCAAGGCCCACCTGTGCCCCTGGGAGCCGGGATGCTGCTGCCCTGGGACGTGTGGGAAGGGCCCCTCTCTTCTGAGAACTCAGAGGTAGAGGAACCTGCAGGGAATTGGAGTAATGGGGCTTTTATGCAGCATCTGTCTGTCTCACCCAGAATCCTAGCAGGATATCCACACTTCTTTGGCTGGTACATCAGCCACCAGTTCCCAAGTCTCCTCCTTTGTGGAGCTGCTCAAAATCCAGGCAAACCTATGCTGTCTAATCTGTATCTCTGGGGAGAGCCCACCTTCTCGACCCTGCCAGAGGGATAATGTTCTCCCAGAAACGAGCATCTGTCCCACCAGTGCTCCTGCCACCAGACATCTTTCAGGAAGCCTCAGAGAAGCCCTGGGTGATGGTGGATTGTCCCTTCCTTTCACCAAGCCTAGAAGCTCTGGGAGTAAGGGTGTTAGAGGGCTTGTTGTAACAGGGTCAGCATGCAGCTGCTTTTTACAGAAATCTAGATAGCTTTGGCATGCTCCATTATAAAGCTTCGTGTTCCCCTTCCTCTCTGTGCGTAACAGGCATCTATCACCCTGAGCCCACAGAGCCCGTCCTGATGCACCTCTGCCGAGGGAGGCCTGGGAGTCCCAAAGGAACAAGAAACTCCCAAGTCTTATACGCCGAGAGGAAATACAATGGCACAGGAAAGAAATGATGTGGAGACAAGAGGCAGGATCTCTTAAGAAGTATGTCTGAAGCAGCCCCAAACCTGCCAGCAGCTGCTGGTGAAGCACAGCCCTTCCCGCACACGCCCGGCTCGGGGGAGCAGGGCTCACTCACCTGCAGCAGACGCTGCCCGCACCCGACAGCCCAGCACTGTTCCCTGCTCCTGGCTGGCAGCAGTGGTTTTTCCTGACTCTCCTTCCACTGGATCAAGGTAACGAGGGAGCTCACGGGGAAAATCTCTTCCCTTTCTCCAGCAACCGCCTGTCAAGAAACAGGTGCTCCTGCCGGCTCCCCTTCCTGGTGCGGCGCGGGCAGCGCTGGCGATAGGCTGCAAGCCCTCACCTCTCGCCCGGGCAGGTGCATTCCCCAGCAGGGTGGCGTCTCAGCAAACCTGCTGCTGGCCTTGGAAAGGCTCCAGAGCCGCGTCGGTGTGCAGGTACTACCCCTCCCTCCCTCCTTGCCTCCCTGGACAGGATCTGGCCACGCACCGATCCTGGAAGGTGGCTCATTTCCTCCCAGCTGGAGGTGAAGGGGTGCCAGCACCAGGGAGCAGCTCCCAGGCAGCAGGTGAGAGGAAGCCTGCAGCCAGGTTGGCAGTGCTAGGGAAGATTTGACACATTCAGCAAGTATTTGGTATTATGTGGTATTAAATAAAATAGCTCCTGCACTACTGGATAGGCTAGAGCCATCTGGTCACATCATGAGTGGGTCATCGTATGGCATTAGTCCAGGCAGGCACTTAAGTCAGGCACGATGTCATTGCAGTGCCATCTCCCCATCACCAGGCAGCTGCAGTACCCCCCTCCCTGGGAGACAGAGGCATCAGCAGAGCCTACCATGCTGTAGAAGAGCTGACTGCCTGTTAATCTAGCAGAAAGAAAGGGGTGACCACTTTGAGAGGAGTTAGGGAAACAGAAAAGGACTCATTGAGAGACGAAGACAATAAAAGGGAGTAGCAGGAACATTGAAGTCAGCAGGGGAATGGGACTCCCAGACTGAAGGCATGCCCCCTCCTTTGTGGCTGGGCTTAATGACAGCAGAAGGGATCACTGCTGCACGTCTGAGCAGCTGGAAAATCTCCTGGGAGATGTAGGAAGAAGAGAACAGGGCTGAACAACAGCTCTTCCCTAACTAATGGAAAGGGAGGCTCAGTTATTAAGTCGCATGCTAGATTTTTAGCAGGCTATGAGAGGGGAAGCTTAGGATACGCTAATACAATAGACACAATTAGTGTGACAGTTTCAGGAATCTGTCTGAGTAAAATCTGACAGATCTTTTGAAACTTGTGAAATATCATCTGTCCAGTGGCTGGTCTCCTAAACCTAAACCAACAAACAGGATGCGGTGGATTTCTCTCTACAAACACCCTTGAACAATGAGCTTGCCCATACTCAGAAAAACCTTGTCCTTTAGTTGGGCCAGTTAACAAACACGTCATACAAGGGGAAACCTTATTCACTTCTAAAGAGACATGTATTCACTTTAAAAAGTGGGCTGTAACTTTATAAGAGCATGAGATGCTTATCGGCTCCTCTAGAGAGGTATCAAGAGGAGAAACAGACAATGCAGACCAAGAAAGGATGAAAGCAGAAAGTGTCTTTGCACCCTGAGAAATTTCAGCAGACCATTAGCATACAAAACTGTAATCCGGTTACAACTTAATTCTGTAAACATTTCTACAGCACATGTGTGGGAGATTGACCTTGGTGTAGTTTTCCCAGTATAGAAGGGGCTTGTACATCTGTTTTGCTTCCAGCAGACCTCTGATAAACCTCAGTTATAACACTCTGCTGTGCCTGACTTTTAATGTTCTCCCATACAAAAGATGTTTTAGCTGCCTCTTAGCCAGTAAGATCAAGTTTTAAATCCTCCCCAACCTAGTTTGCCAGCTGTCTACCTAGGCTTCATCTGACAGGCCTTGCATTGCCTTTAAAATCTTTCTAATGAGGGTGACACATGGGCATACGTTTAAGCATATTAATCACCACTTAGAAATCATTCTTCACCTATATATGCTTCTTCCTCTTATTAGAACAAGGTTCTTCTTTTTCAGGAAGATTGATTCCATTTCTCTAAACCACATCTATTAAAGCAGTGGCTTCTACCACTCAATTTATTTTGACAGAGAGGGGAAAATTATACCACACGGGAGTCTAGCAAATTAAAATAGGTGTGTTCTGAAAATTTAAGAGGGAACTAGTTTCTAAAATATTTGCTAATTACATTAATTACATCCTCTTTCTGTACAGGAAGTATCAAGATGATTATATGGGGAGGGGAGGAGGGTGTTAAGCTAGTACATTAACAGACCAATTCCATCATAACTTTGTTCCTGTGAAACCTATGTTTCATAGACCTTAAAGATGTAAAATGAAAAAAGACTAAAGAGACTTAATTCCACACATGGACAAAACACTCAGCTGAACTCTCCTAAGTCACAGGAGCTTGTGGAACTATCTGTTTTGCCATGGTGTTAGCCTCGAAATGAGTTTAGTATCCTTAATGGTAATATAGCTTACAGGTTATCCAGCCTTGGCACCACGATCTTTTGTGTAATCTTATTATTAGTATGTAGAAAGCACTTGTCACTTCTCTACAATTCAGGATAGGAAATGGAAATGGTAACATACTGGCTGTTACAATACCATATAGTTCCATGCTCAACCAGTAGCTTAAACTTCTGAAGTATATGAAGTATTTCTCAGTGAGACAGTGTGTCATGTACTCACAACAAAGGATGAAAAATTTACTTTTCTCCCCCTCATTATTAAAGAAACTCCCTGCCTTTTTCTATACATGAGTAGTTTGCAGAGTGTCTTTTTAGGAGAATTTCACTAAAGAACTGAACTAAAGGGATTGCAGATGTTGGGGGGGAAAAAAAAAAAAAAAGCAAAGATTATTTTATCAAAGTTATAGGAGATTTATGACACAAGGTTTGGACTTTATTCCAGATTTCAGAGTCTGAAACTGAGCTGCCTTTTTGTACTGCTGAAATGATTGTAGCAGATGATCAGACAACACATCTCTAGACAGGAGGCAGCAACTTGAGCAAGGGCTCTAGCTCAGGTTTGCTTGACCACTAGACAAAAATTGCCCTCACAAGGCAACTGAGTTTTAGTCTGTGACTGAATACCTGCTTGGAATAACACTGACATCTGGCCTTAAGTATGGGCAGTTCTTTGTATGGAAAATAAGAGGCTGATGTTGATTTTTGCAGCACAATGACACCAAATAAGAATTCTAGCAGAAAATGCTTCAGAGTTTGACCAGCTCTTCTGAACTAGGACACATTATTTTTCAAGAGAAAGGTGCATACCTGCCCTAGCATGAAGGCACAAAGACCCGTCTTGCACTAACACAAATTTATTTTTTTTCTCTTGGCTCCTAGGCCTCACAGAAAGGGCAAATTCCAGGAAAGTAGAAGGGAGTGAAGGTTGCTGCCATGTGTTCAGAGCGAGTGTTGCACAAATGCTTCTAGTGGAAGAGTATAGGATCACAGAAGTCTAATCTATGCTGTTGCATTTCTGATCTTGCTAGGAGAATATAATAATGTGAGGCATCCTTGAATCAGGTCACTGTTGCTGTGTCTTGTGGCTTTTTTCTAGATTCATCTTAGGAAGATTTCCAACTAAGAGAGGCTGAACTGCAAGGATTTGCCCCTTCTCCTGGATTTGGTCTCGCAGGTATTGAATTTCTAGCTGCTGCATTTCTATGATGTTCTCACTTTCCTTCTCTGCATTCAACCTTAGGACAGCTGGGCTGGACAGCAGTTCACTGGAGGGAGCTAGAAGATAAAATCAGAGTGGACAGAGCAGAGTAACAAAGGCCCAGCTCACATTGTTTTTTGGCATGAACGAGGAAAGGCATCTTTCAGGGCTGAAGGAGTAGAGCTAAATAGTAAGATTCTGCAATATTTAGCAGCTGCTACAACTAACATTACAATATAACAGGTACCACCAGGCAGACAAGCTGGAATGATATGGAGACAGTTCACCAAGGACAAAAAGGGCTTCTGGAATGAGTACTGACAATATGGGAATCATACAAGAAGCAATATTCATTCACCTGTGTCTTGAATTGCCTGTTTTTTCTTGGTTAATCTTAGTGTTGACTGGAGGTCATGTACCTGGGTGTGGGCTACCTTCCGTTCTTGCCGCAAGTCATTAATTTCCTTTATCAGACTCACATTTTCCTGCAAAAACAGTATGTCTTATGAGGAAAAGCACAGGTACTATGTGGCTCAGCAATATGTATCTCCATATCATTGGGAAGGACACTGGACAGTACAGAATCGGTATCACAGGCAGAAGATACAGGGCTATCAGTACAGTACACATTTCAAAGAAGGCCACGGCAGATTTGACACAAAATATGACAGTATTCTAACTATGTTAGCTCAATAAGCTAATACTTGTTTTGCTTTTCTGACTGCAGCTGCACTCCAAGCTATCATCTTTGTTGTCAATTCCACAGGGAAGCTCAGGTCCTTTCCTGGATTAATTAATTCAGAATTAATGTAGGGGATTTCCATTTCTCCCTCCAGTGTGTATTATTTTGCTTTTCATATGCCACTATGTGTCTATTCACTTAAATTATCTGTATCTCCTTGCAGTTCTTCAAAGCTCTCTTCATTAGTTCTGACAGACATCACTTTCCAACACCGCTTCCAAATTATTAAGAAATAAAGCATATGGAGACTTGAGATACCTACTGCTAACATGCTGTTATGAGGAAAAGTTAGCCCTGTATTCATCTTTTGTTCTTTTTTTAGTCAGTTCTCAACCCATAAAAGTTCAATCCTCTAATTTTTTAATAGTCTACCACAAAGCATCTTGTTGCAGGAATTGTGAAAGTACAAGTGAATGTACTTTACCCATTTTTGTGACAGATTCAAAGACTTCAGCAAAACCAGTATGGGCTAATACTGCTGAAAGATGATATGTTGCTCATGATTCAGAAACAGGAGCACTATTAACTAAGTATTTCTTTTCTGAATTCAAGAGAAGTGTAATTCTGTATTTGCCTCTTACAAAGACCTTAGCACACCAACAGCTAGTGCAAATGTTAAACAGCTGCCATTATACTCGAACCAAGAATAGCAATGATTTCAGCTACCCGTGGTAGTTTTTTAGAGTTTTGGAACACAGCGCCATTCCAACCCCTTGAACATCATAAATGCCAATATTTTAGAGAGATAAATGGCCAAAAGGCATGCTTTGGGCACCTCACATAAAACCAGTCTCAAGCAATAGGGAACCCACTAAAACAACATAAGATAAGAACAAGGATTAATTACATTTTCCTATGAAGAAGGTCTCTTCAAATCTTGATTTTTTTAAATGATAATTTTGGTTGATAGAGATAATTACGCTGCCATAAGAGATTTATGGAAGGCATAAGATTCAGTTTCTTATGGTATACTTACAAAGTATTGGCACCACACAACAGTAAGCTGGTTAGTAACAAAGTACAATG